GTTAAATGGTTGCTTGGGTTTGTTAGACTGAAAAATAGGAGGGGGATTTGGTTTGTTGATTGGCTGTTTGGGAGTAACATTTGTCAGTTTAGGAATTGTATTTGGATTTTTCGAGTTATTATTTTGGTTTGATGTGACATTATTGGTTTGATTTGTTATATATGGTGTCAATTTGTTAGGATTAAATGGTTTGAGTTTGTTAATAGGAGCTCGATAGTTGCGGAATTATGCCGGTTGAAATCTTTGGTAAAGTTGTTATATTTGCCGGTCTCCAGGGGATGATCTTTTTTTACGACAATTTTGCGATTGGTGACCAGGTATTTGGCAAATGAAGTAAAGCTTTGAATTCAGATCGGCCCAGATCAGTCTTTTTCTATCAAGATAGAAAGTCTCTCCATTTTTAGCGGCATCCATTGTCTCTTTGTCCTTGAAGTAGAAGATAGCATATTGAAGGTTGCGGTAGTTGGCACATGATTTAGGGATGACCCAAGCTATAGCCTCAATTGCGTTACCGATCGAGATAAGGTGACAGCCGTTAGTGTCGAGAGGTAGGTTCGTGAGTTTAAGGGAAAATTGGAATTTTTTCCTGACATTTTCATTCGACATTGTACAAGGATGAACTTGGACAAGGTCTTTTAGAACGAAGTAGCTGTTAAGTTTATTCAGAGTGGTCATATCTGTATTTTCTTTAAAGGTAATAGTAGCTTGTTGCCATAAGTTTTTGGTAGACATCATACATTTGGTGATCTTCCCGAAAAAGGAAAATGTAGATCTCAAGTTTGATTCTGTAGTAGAGATCGGGATCTCAGTTACTCTGATCGACAAATCTGGAATGTATTTTGCGACTGGTTTAGTGATTAGGGGTGAGAACGTGTTATTGTCTAAACAAGGAATTTTGAGGATGATTGCATGATTGGCTTCATCGCACAAGGTAAAACCAATTCAGACAATTTTTTTATTGGGATCATCGGGGTGAATGCGTACTGATGCATCAATGAAAGAGACATAATGTGATGCAAATATGTCACACGTCTCGTTTTATTTTTCTCAATAAGTTTTGGCTAAGAAGAAGCGTTCAGCGACGCAGTAGGTAAAGTAGATTAGGGCTTCCATTTCTCGTTCAAGGTAAATACCACTTGCTTTATTTTTGTCGTTATCAAGGCCGTTTTCAGTAGCGTCAAAAGCTTGGTCGATATCTATCGGGACTTTTGGAGATGATGAGAAAGTTTCAGGTATTTTTTCTTTGTCGCTACGTACACGAGCGGTTGTGTCAAGTTCCATGTCAGAAGACGCGACATTTTCTGTAATATTTTTTGAAGACGAAGCTTCAGTTGTTTGAGGAAGTTCAATAAACTGTTTCTTAACAGGTCGTTGCTGTTGGTCGTTGTTAGGGAAAGAAGAGCGAGTCTTGTTAGACTTGTTGTTGTTATTGTTGTTTTCATTTTTTTTTCCAGTCATATTGAAATTGGGAATCAGCCTTTATAGTATAGATAATAACTTTTATATTTTATATAAATAGTTTTTTAGTTAATTTTACTTTTATTGAATATAAAATAAGTTTTAAATAGATCTGTTTTAAATTATTTAATAAAATTTAATACACTTTCTTAGCATTAGTTTAAAATAGAACTTTTTTTCTTATTCATTATCATTATTATTTATTCATTAAAATCTTATATAATAACTTTTTAAATAATTAAAAGTTAATAATTTAAATATTTTAAAATTAAAGATTTATTTATATTAAAAGAATTATTAATTTAAATTAATATATGGATGCTTTGCAATATAAAGAAAGTAAACTTTAAAAAAAAAATTTTTTTTTAAGTTAATATTAAAACTAAAAAAAATATATTTAACTTATAAAGTAAAAAATGTTTTTTATTAGTTTTCTTATTTTATTACAAAATATCTATATATAATATAAAACTAATAATAATAAATTAGCTTTTAAATCATAAGTTTAATAAAATAAAATTATGAAAATAAAGTTTAGTTTTATTAAATAGATTAATAAAATTTAAAATTCTAATAAGTTATTGTTTTGCAAATTTATTAAAGTATAAATTTTTAATTAATTAAAAACTTATTTTTTAACTAAAATTATGTTAAAAACTTCATAAAGTATTTGAAATATTTCTACTAATTAAAAATAAAATAAAAATTATAAAAATTATAAAATTTTATAAGATAAACTATATTAACTTATTTAACTAGTATAATTTTATAAAGTTATTACTATTTTGTAATTTAGCTATTTGACTATTAAGTTTTATTTTATATCTATAAGAAAGCTTTTAATAAGGTAGTCTTAATGATAATATTTTATAATTTAATTTCTAGATTGAAAGTTATTTAATTTATATTAAAAAGTATTCTTTTATTCGGATTTGTTAGGATTAGAATAAATGAGCAAAAAAAAAAAATTTTTTTTTATTTTGATATATTATATAATTCAATCCTATTATAAATTAGATTACATTAGAAGTACTACGTTACGGAGATCACACTTATACGTCATATGTGTATTATTAAAAGGAGACTAAAATAGAAAATTTTAGTTGCAAAATTTTTTTGAAAATGGAAGAGACGATCCAAACCAAGCGTCTTGCCTCGTATACAGCACCTGCTGAAGTTTTTGAGGATTTGGTGGACAGTGACGATGAAACTGATCCTTTTTTACAGCGGACTGGTGGTTCCCGTCGCATCTTAGATCGACAAAGTGAATATCATGCTCGTAGATTGAATCGAGCTATTTCACCAGAAAGAAGTGATCCGTTCGCTGAAAAAGACATTAAGGGTGAATCACGATCATATGCTGATGTTATGCGAGAAGCTGAGCTAGAGAGAGAAGAACTACGTGTTATACATGAACTTGAAAAAAAGAAGAAGGAAGCCGAAAAAAATGCAAAAGAAGCTGCAGTAGAACAAGCTACGGCACAGAAAAAGCGACGTTGGGATATAGAAACGCCCATGGAAATGAAACAAACGTCCGAATGGTCAAAGGCAGATGATGAATCATCTGTTGGAAAAAGTAGATGGGATGAAACTCCTAGAACATCCGAAGACGTTGGAATGGATACTCCTCGTAAAAGAAGCAGATGGGATGTAACACCTCAGGTTTCGACCAAAAAATCTCGCTGGGACGAAACACCCTCACATCCAGCTGCCCAAATTGGAGCTACTCCTGTTGGTAATCTGGGACTACTTACCCCCACACCTGGTCATTTAATGCCTATGACTCCGGAAGGTAAGTTCATTTACCATTTATATATATATGTTTTCTCTACGAATTCGTATTAATATATTATACATTTAAACTAGCTCAACGTTGGGAAAAAGATTTAGATGCACGTAATAGGCCTCTTTCAGATGAGGAACTTGATGCAATGTTCCCAACAACAGGTTACAAGGTGCTAGACCCACCAGCAGGATATGTTCCTATTAGAACTCCCGCACGAAAATTAATGGCAACCCCAACCCCTTTGGCGAGTGATGGTTTTGTGATGTTAGAAGAAGATAGGATGCAAACTTATGATTTACCAGCTGATATTCCTGGTGTTGGCAATTTGCCATTCTTCAAACAAGAAGACATGCAACATTTTGGCAAATTATTAGAAGATAAAGACGAAAGTGAATTGTCTGTTGAAGAATTGAAAGAACGCAAAATTATGCGTTTGCTTCTAAAAATTAAGAATGGAACTCCTCCAATGAGAAAAACTGCACTTCGACAGATTACAGATAAAGCAAGAGATTTTGGAGCAGGTCCTCTTTTCAATCAAATTCTTCCATTGTTGATGTCACAAAATTTGGAAGATCAAGAACGACATTTGTTAGTTAAAGTTATTGATCGTATATTATATAAATTGGATGCACTTGTTCGTCCATATGTTCATAAAATTCTTGTGGTTATTGAGCCACTTTTGATCGACGAAGATTATTTTGCTCGTTGTGAGGGACGTGAAATTATAAGTAACCTTAGTAAAGCTGCCGGATTACCAACGATGATAGCTACTATGAGGCCAGATATCGATCACGTAGATGAATATGTCCGTAATACAACTGCTCGTGCCTTCTCTGTGGTAGCTTCGGCACATGGTATTCCCGCTTTACTTCCATTTTTAAAGGCTGTATGCAAGAGTAAAAAATCGTGGCAAGCAAGACACACTGGTATCAAAATTGTACAGCAAATCGCTATCTTGATGGGTTGTGCCGTTTTACCTCATCTTAAAAATTTAGTAGAAGCTATAGCTCACGGTCTGGAAGATGAGCAACAGAAAGTGCGTACAATCACTGCTTTAGCTATAGCTGCTTTAGCCGAAGCTGCTGCACCATACGGTATCGAATCTTTTGATTCCGTTCTCAAGCCTCTTTGGACTGGTATTCGAAAACATCGTGGTAAAGGATTGGCCGCCTTTTTAAAGGCTATTGGATATATCATTCCACTCATGGATGCCGAATATGCCAATTATTACACAAAAGAGGTTATGATTATTTTAATCCGAGAATTTCAATCACCTGACGAAGAGATGAAAAAAATTGTTCTTAAGGTTGTAAAACAATGTGCCGCTACTGATGGTGTACAACCACATTACATCAAGGAAGAAATTCTTCCCGAGTTTTTTAAAAATTTCTGGGTTCGTAGAATGGCTCTTGATCGTCGTAATTACCGTCAAGTTGTCGAAACAACGGTAGAATTGGCACAAAAGGTTGGCGTAACAGAAATTGTGGGTCGAATTGTAGAAGATCTGAAAGATGAGTCAGAACCATATAGAAAAATGGTTATGGAAACGGTTGAAAAAGTTGTAAGTCAATTAGGTGCCGCAGATATTGACACCCGTTTAGAAGAAGTATTGATTGATGGTATTTTATATGCTTTTCAAGAACAAACAGTAGAAGATATTGTAATGTTGAATGGTTTTGGTACTGTGGTCAATGCTTTGGGCTTACGTGTTAAACCTTATTTGCAACAAATTACCTCTACCATTCTATGGCGCCTTAATAACAAATCTGCAAAAGTTCGGCAGCAAGCTGCTGACCTTATTTCTCGTATTGCAGTTGTTATGAAAACTTGCGGGGAAGAAAAACTTATGGGACATCTTGGGGTTGTACTTTATGAATATTTGGGAGAGGAATACCCAGAAGTACTTGGTTCTATTTTGGGAGGCCTTAAATCGATAGTTAATGTAATTGGTATGTCCAGTATGACACCTCCAATAAAAGATCTTCTTCCAAGACTCACACCTATACTTAAAAATAGACATGAGAAAGTTCAAGAATCATGTATTGATCTTGTTGGTCGTATAGCGGATCGCGGTGCTGAATTTGTCAGTGCTAGAGAATGGATGCGCATCTGCTTTGAATTGTTGGATATGCTTAAGGCTCACAAAAAAGGTATACGTAGAGCTACTGTAAACACTTTTGGTTATATTGCGAAAGCAATTGGTCCACAAGATGTTTTAGCGACTTTATTAAATAATTTAAAAGTACAAGAGGTATGAATAATATTATTGTTGTAACGTATTAATTTGTTAAATTTTATAAGTTAATATAATTTTTTTAATAGCGTCAAAACAGAGTTTGCACGACTGTAGCTATAGGTATATATTTAGATATGAATGATCATCATGATATTACATATATATTTATTTAACACAAATTTTCATTCTTTAGCCATCGTTGCCGAAACTTGCGCTCCTTTCACTGTTTTACCAGCATTGATGAATGAATATCGTGTTCCCGAGTTGAATGTTCAAAATGGTGTTCTTAAGGTTTTGTTATTTAAAATATGTGCTCATCTTCGCTGTTAAGTTAATAATAATTTGAAAAATTAATATTTAAGAATATTATTTTATTTTAGTCACTTTCATTCTTATTTGAATATATCGGAGAGATGGGAAAAGATTATATTTACGCCGTTACACCATTATTGGAAGATGCATTGATGGACCGAGATTTAGTGCACAGACAAACTGCTTGTACTACTGTAAAACGTACGTGTATACACTTATAATAAATAATAATTAGCTCAAATTATTAACAATTTATTTCTATCACAAATTATTTATAATAGATATGTCGCTTGGAGTTTTTGGATTGGGATGTGAAGATGCTCTTCTTCATTTGCTCAATTATGTTTGGCCTAATATTTTTGAAACTTCTCCTCACGTTATTAATGCCGTAATGGAAGCTATTGAAGGATTGAGAGTTGCACTCGGTCCAACTACAGTATTACAATATGTCTTACAGGTTAGTTTAGTCATAAAACTTTTTATAAATTTATCCAAGATTATTCGATTAAACTAAATTTTTCTTATATTTACGCTCAGGGTTTATTTCATCCTGCACGAAAGGTTCGCGAGATTTATTGGAAGATATATAATAATTTATATATAGGTGCTCAAGACGCCTTGATTCCTTATTATCCACGTATAGAAGATGATGAAAGAAATAATTATGAACGATACGAACTGTCTATGTGGCTATAAATATTATTAGGACATTTTTATTACTAACAAAACAATTTATTAAAATGTATTTTCGAATAATTATATATCAGAGTTTCGTGTTACCCAAAATCTCTAATTGAAAATTCGATTTAAATAGAAATTATTAAATTTGATAATGAAATATATAAAGGAGATGCATCATTTCATCTTGTGAATGATTAATTTAATGGAGAAATTTTTACAACGTCTTTATGACGCCCTTTGGAACAATATTATTAGTAAACTATACGAACCGATCTCAAGATGATTATTTTTATCCAAAATTTTGTCTTTGCCAGTTTACCGAACCATTAAAAATACAAGCACAAAGTGTTCCTATCTAAACGGTTGTATCAGCAGAATAAGTTTAAAACCCTACAACAAACACTATTATTTTTCAGTAATCTTAAGTGCATATTTTATCTAACATTGTCATATCCGAAGCAAAAGATTTCTAAAATATATCTAAAGAGTGTTCGATCTAAGGTCATCAGATATAACATTTAAGTCTCGAATTTCCAATTATCTTCAAGTTACCTTTATACCGGGAACCGAGATTTCATTAACGACTTTCTTCTCAAATATTTTCAAAGTTTAGATCATAAACGGTTACATCATACCAACTTCTGAAGATTATTCCATAGTGGAATCATTAGGAGGCGGACGTGAGCCAACAATAACGGGAGAAGCACTATCCCTCAATAAAAGTATTGGAGTTATCAACAAAACATGTATAATCACAGTGTGTGCTACAAAAAAAAAAAAGATGACAATCATATAGTTTTAGTTGCAAAACATAAAACTTTATAATAATCAAAAATTACTGCGCCATAAAAATTCGAAACTTGAGAAATGATTAGTGATTAATTGAAAACTTTTTTTGAATTTATTCTTCTATCAATACAATTTCTCTATTTTCTAAGCATTTTCTTGATATTTATTGTATATCCTACATTATACTGAAATTTGTATAGTAGATCGGTTATATATGTTAATTACATTACAAAGGATTAAAACGAGAATCCAAATCACTGCTGATGCAACCAACTTAATCTGTCCTTAGTGTCTTAGATGAATAAACCTCTCAACATACAAGCTACATTGGCATGTATTCCGCAGTTATTAATTAAGTCATTTTGTGTGGTAATACACTATAGAAAACAGACCTATTTTTTTTCCTAATCGGTCTTTGACACAGTAATACAAGTCTCGTGGTATTATATCGTCCCCATGAAGTTCCCGGTCAAAGATCATCTTTTTTTAGTGAGATCGGATTGCGCAAGTTAACCCGTAAGTTGAATATAGAGTAACTCCTAATCCTAATCATAATGGATTAGGATTTCGTTTCGGATTATGGATTATAACCATCCATTTATTTTGTAATGGCTTGTCATTTCATTAGCTTTCGGCTTTGGTGGCTTTTTGTTTGTATAAATTATCATTTAAGCTAAAATTGTGATTATTTTTTTATGCGGCTCATACTGTCGCCATTTTAAGTTTGTGAAATAACTGAACCATGAAAAAAAATTTCTTTCGTTCTTTTTTTTTTAAAAAAAATTATTTACTTTTTTTTTGATAATAAAATTCTTTATGGCGAAGGCAAATCCTGACCAGGCTTGGTTTTTATTTTATTTTCGAAATATTGTGGAGTCAAAATTTTATTTCGAAAAATACTGTAGAGTTAAATTTTACATTATTATATTTCGAAAGAATAAATTGTTAAAATTAATATTGTAATATTGTAATGAATTGGCTTTGATCGGGCTTGGGGGGTTTTTTTTATTAAAGAATTAAGAAGAAAAAAAAAAGAGAAAAAAATTTTAATAGGATAAAGTTAATAGGCAAATGTGTTTGTGAAAGAAGGTATAAAAAAGGGTGTTATTTGATAACTTGTTAAAAAATTAAAAATAATTCCTTTTATTTTTTTAATTAAAAAAAGAAAGAAAAAAATGCCTGCGAAACTCTCTACCATTGCTTATGTCCATAAATCTACAGAACGTCTTACACAAGACTTCACTGTCAAAGAGATTACCACCGTATCAATGATGACCCAACAAAAGTAATTTATCTAAGAATCAAAGCGTTTATCCCTTCAGACTGGGATATCGAAACACAAATCGAGGAGTTTGATACAGGGGATGTGATCTTTTTAAGGGGCAAGTTTATTACATGTGCAGGTATAATAATTTAATTTATTTTCTTTTTTCTTATCTTAATTTTCAAAAAAAATTAACTATCTCTCCTGCTTCTTTCAAGGTGAATGCATCCATCAAAGTCTTAGGAAACCTGAATTTTGATATAATGCCATTGGTAGGACTCAGCATCATGGTTATCAGAATTACAACTAAGACTGTCAGAAATATTAATGAAAAGCATCACCTGAAAATCTATGTTAAAGAAATTTAGGAGAAAGGAAATCCCAAGAGTTTTGGGTTATTGTAACCTATGATCTGAACCTGAAATACCAGTGTGTGACAAAAGTAATCAGAATTACGTTTTTATTAATTGCACTTCAAAAATTAAATAAAAATACATGAAAATTTAAATATATATGCTTTATTGTTATACGAAAAAGTTTGTCTAAGCTTAACTAAGCTTATCTTATTATCATCCTTCGATTACTTGTTTAGCTATGATGATATACTATGAATTAAATTAATAAAGATTTCATTTTCAATTCCTTCTCACTCCTTTTAAATAATATCAATTTATGATCAATTTTGAAGAGATGTATAGATAAATATGTTAATAAGCTGTTAATAAAAAAAATGTTTTTCTTCTCTATAGGATTAAGTTCTAGGCTGTTTGATGGTTAGTCTAATAATCTCAAACAATGTTTTGAAAGAAGTATTTTAGTATTCCTGGTTATATGCTTGAGGTTATTATCCTATTGAAACATCTAATACTTTCCCATAATAGAATTTGCATTATCAAAAGATTTTCATTAATAATTTCATGATAATCTATTATTCTAGTAAAAAAACAAATCCAATTTGACCCTTTGTTAAAAAAGCATCTAATATATGAACTTTGTATAAATATTTTATCATGAATTTTTGTAGAGATTATGTATCAGCTTTATAAAATATTTTTATATATTTTAGAACATCTGAATTATCATTTCATCAGAAAAAATAACTTGATTTCAGTTTTATCTTTGATATTTCATTGCAAATTCTATATAATATTATTTATACAAAGTTGTGAGTAAAGGTATTGATTTGAAATTATACTAATATAATTAAGTCTATAAAGCTTTCTAAATACAGTTCTTTTGTATATATTAAGATTAATATGTTTGTCATTTAAAATATTTGCAAATTCAACATGTAAAATATTTGTTTACTGAAATAAGCTTTTTAAGATGACAGCATTTTTTAGAAAAATGTCTTTTGGTCTTTTTGACTGAAATAAAGATTTTATAGGAATACCTTTTTTGAGTTTTAATATATCTGTATAGTATAAAATATGAAATAGAGGTTAAAGAATATAAAGTTTTAGTATTATAAGTACTATTTTTCTATAAAATAGTTACAATTATATGACATTATGCAAAATTATCATAAGTTATATTGAATTAGAGATGAAATTATATAGTATAGTTAAAGTATAAATAAATAATGATCAATATCATACAAAAATAGCTATTATATAATTACAGTTCGCGATATAAATATTTAGAGTTTTTATTAAGAATACAAAAAAAAGTATCATCATACTAATTTCTGTCTAACAGAAATAAAATTTAAAATAGCAATTCATTAGCTATTTTTAGACGTAAATATAAATGCCAAATTTTTTTATGTAATTGTTTATTAGTAGTAACTCATAATAAATAGCACTCACTTCAGTATTTGAGACAAGACAGCAAATTGTAAAGGAACTATGAATTAAAAATGTATAAAAGCCCGCCAAAATAATTAAAATAACTGGATATTTAAAGTCTACAGTATATGATATTATTAACCATTTAAAAAAAATGAGAAATTCTAAGCATTTGCCTTGTCCTGATCATCCTCTTCTTCTTATTCCTAATAAACGTTGATATCTTGATCGTCTTCTCCAAGTTAATAATGTAACAACTTTAGCTTTAATGACAAAAAGGCTGAATTTCACATATCTAGAACTTAACGTATCAACTTGAACTGTTCAATATACTCTTAAAAATAAACTTAAATATGTTATTTGTCAACTATGAATAGTTTTCCTTCTTAAGCTGAATCATATTGAAACTTGTTTCAATGGTCATAAACTATAGCCAAGATGATTGGTCTTGTATAATATTTTTAGACGAAAGTACTTTTTAAATGTTCTGTAATACCTAACTTGTACGCTACAAAATTGGTAATCTACATCCATTACATTTTATAGTAAAATATTTATATAAAGTTCATGTTTAGAGTACTTTCAGCCGTCAAGAATTAATTAGTATAGTATTATTTATAGGAAAGATGAATGCTGTGAAATATCAGAATATTCTTTGATTCTAATTACTTTCTAATGCTAATCATGCTGATGATAGATGGTATTTTTAATAGGATAATACACCAACCTATACCGTGAAGCTTACCCGTTAATTTTTTGTGATGAATAATGTTCCAGTGATTAATTGGCCTGTTAATTCTCCTGACTTAAACCCAATTGAGAATTTATAGGCAATTCTTAAAGGAAAAGTTGAGAAAAAGATTAATGATTTAATTAGAGAAAAAAAATACTTAGCGTGAATGCTTTTCAAAGCATAATTCAGAGAGAATGGAAAAATCTCAATCAAACATTTTCTTTAACTTAGCAGATAGTATATCAGATTGGATTAGTATAGTTATAGAAAAAATGGGTATACGATAAATTATTAATTCTTTAAATGTTATTTTTTATATAATAAACTATTGATAATATAAATTTATACTTTTATATGTCATGATAAATTCTGGATATTTATGTCGTAAACTGTATATAAATTATTTGCTAATCACATGTATACTATAGGAATTATTGAAGAT